CGGTCCCTCAGCGGTGTTAGCCTTGGCCACGGTGTGACAGTAATCGAGGCATAGACGACAAGGAGGTGCTGACCCAACGCCGGCTATTTCGAAACGCACATGCTAAAAGCATGTAGGCACTGACTGAGAGCGAAATCAATGACTACGGAGTCTTTTATAGGTTTTTGGAACATGTGTAAATTCCACACGCACCTTTTTAGGGAGACACAAAAGGATTTGGATCAACTGGGATCGTAACAGTATCCGATTTCAATTTGTTCAACCTACATGTACCTGCTGCCAGTTTTACCTGAAAAACTACTTCATTGAAATTGTGATCTAGCATTTTGGAAAGGCATGCACCTTTTTCTACTGATTATTATTATACAGGCTATGAATATGACCACCCGAAAATTGTTTGGGAAAAAAGAATCCAAAGAGACATCAGTCATGTCTTGAAATCATGTAGACCTACTGACAGATAAGCATCGTTTAGGGCCTACATCAAAGATGATGATGTTTACATCATATAGAAGAGATAAACATAATCACCGCGGTGGATGACAAATACAGTAAAAAGATAATCGATGACTCGCGGTGTCGTGTTGCTGGTAGGGACGTTTCGGCTGCTGGTGCTGGTGCGTTCCACGTATTTCCTGCACGATGGAGCGTACTATGAACAGACAGATGGAGCAGCTATGGGTAGTCCGGTGTCAGCGGTTATTGCCAATCTGTACATGGAATCGTTCGAGGAGGAAGCCCTGCAGAGTTGCCCACCCGACTGCCGTCCTACCCTGTGGAAGCGGTACGTCGATGACACCTTTGTCATTGCACCACGAGATCAAGCCAGCCGTCTGCTCAACCACCTGAACAGCCTCAAGCCCAGCATCCATTTCACCATCGAGATTGAGCAAGACAACAGGATTGCATTCCTTGACACCATGGTGCACAGGGAACCCGACGGCAGCCTGACCAGCACCGTGTATCGCAAGCCTACCCACACCGACCAGTACCTGGCCTTTGACTCACACCACCCAGTGTCCGTCAAGAGGGGCGTGGCCAAGTGCCTACATGACCGCGCCTCACGCCTAGTCACCAGACCGCACCACACAGCCGCCGAGAGACGCCGAGTCACCGCTGCCCTCACGGCGAACGGGTATCCAGCATCCTTCATCCGGCAATCATCAAGACCCAAGACCAGCGCCAAAGTGGAGCGACCGAAGTACATGTACAAGGCTTTCACCATTCTTCCCTTTGTGGACGGTATTTCCGGACGGCTAAAGAGGATCCTGGAGGACCACGGCGTCCGTACCGTGTTCCGATCATCCACCACCTTGAGGAACCAACTCGTGCGCCCTAAGGATCCCATCCCACCCGGAAGACGCGGAGGAGTGGTCTACAGGATACCATGCGGTGACTGTGGCAAGGTATACATCGGCGAAACTGGCAGACCAATCGGCGAGAGAATCAAGGAGCGCCAGCGCGACGTGAGACTCTCCCGTGTGGAGTCGTCAGCGGTAGCCGAGCACACCTGGGGAGCTGGTCACCACCCCAATTGGGACAGCGTGCAGTGCATGGACCAAGACCAGCATTGGTACACAAGACGCGTCAAGGAGGCCATCTACATCCGCCTGAATGGACACAACATCAACAGAGACAGCGGCATCGACATCCCCGGATTCTGGCTCCCCACCATCAGCCAACACAACCACCGGAGCACCGGAGCGCAATGGAGCCACACGAGGACAAGCCCCCTCACGCCCATGGAGTGGAGTGTGCGTCGCCCGCTGAGGTCACCCGTGCTGCGTCCGCAATACACGGCGGGGGACACGCGGAGGACGTGGTCCAGCGGTATATAGCGGACTCTGCAGCATCCAGACTTCAGTTGCCTGATGAAGGCTAGCAGCACCAGCAGCCAAAACGTCGCTACCAGCAACACGACACCGCGAGTCATCGATTATCTTTTTACTGTATCACGTAGTATGTCATTGCATTATCAAAGTATATGTACATGTTTGTAGGGGCCCAGTGTAGTAGTAGGAAATAGAGAGTTCAAGCGCACCTCCCCTTTCGCCCCGCTTTCACCTTATTTCCGCCATCCACCATCCGCACCGGGGATTTCCACTTCACTAACCTTGACCTTTTGACCCTGGCGCACTTTTCCGTAAACAACTCATGACGTGCACCGATCGCACAAACAATCACTCTCAAACAAAAAAGGGACTTCCCCTCACTACAAGTCTTGACTTGCCCGTTATAAAAACAAAAAAAATAAATACTACATAAAAAGAAATGGTAGATCACACTACAAACGTGAATTGTTATTTTTGCAAAGACACGAGAAATTCAATCGATTTGATAGATTCGTACAATTTCTTTCGTTGTTTAAATTCCAACCGTTTATGCAAATGTATGGATTGTACAGAATGCCACGATTGTCAGGAATGCCACGACTGCGCCAGATGTAATAACTGCTCCACTTGAGACTTTTGCGGTAGATGTATAAATTGCGTGGCTTGTTTTAATTCATACGACTGTCAAAATTCAAATGCCTTGGACAGTTGCGAGGACTGTTACGAGTGTGGCAATTGTATCGAATGTTTTGGTTGTACAGATTGTGTCTGCTGCGTAAATTGTGTCGAGTTGGAAGGAATGGATCACGTGGTGCGCGTAGATGGTAAGCATAAAAAGCTGCGGCATCGCGAGAAAATGAGTCACTGCCCAATTCAGCGACTGTACTCGACACGGATTTATACAAAATTGGACTAATTATTGAATACGACGTTGACGTTGAACATTTAATTAAAGTAGAAATCCCACCCGAATAAAAATGAAAAAGAATTTACAACAAAGCCGGGAAAATTAGAACCATGTCAGCCCAAGTATATATCGTTTCAGATGACCACGAGCGTCGCAATGCCGACAACTGCGACCCCAATGTTACCTACGGTCCCTTTGACCCGAGTAAATTAATTATTTCAAAACCCTTGTTTAAAGAAGGGGTTCATTACACTTCACCCATTTTTTACCATCACAACAGCCAAAATAAATGCTTGTTGATTATGACGATAGAACCATGTTACGGCATAAACCCACTTTATAAATACGGCACTCGAGATAAACCCCCCGAAAACATCAAAGGCCGTCAAATTTGCTATCAGATACAACAACCTACGACAAGCATACCTGATCACATAAATTTGGCCGTTTATAAATTTATCGAGTCTCAAGAGTCTAATCTCCCGTCTAACACCGTAAACGCCTACAAAGCCAGTCGCGATATTGATGAATTGAGCAAGATCGAATGTGTTGTTAAACCACCTTATACGGCTAAAAACCAAATGTACGTTAAAATAGATCCCTATGCTTCCCTATTTGATGACCAAAAAAGATCCATTGACTCGTCAAATATCGATAAATTTATCAATAAGAGATGCGACGCACAATCATTCATTTGTCCAAAAGACGTATACGACGGTACCCATGGTTCACTGTCGTGCGGCGCTAGCATTCGGTATAGAGTGACAGCGGCAATGTTAAAAATTAGAAACGACGGACTAATTTCAAACAAGTCGGCGTTGCAAGCGTTTAACGGATCTAGATTTGAATCTCCCGTGGAACTAGAAGTCGATTAAATTTGCATGCTTAACTTAAACCTCGGTTATTCCTCGGAATAACTGAGGTTGTTTTCACGTCACTCGTTCCTTAAATAAATGGACTATTAATAAAAAATGATGGACGCAGAGATTTATCGTTTAACCGGCTCATTACCTAAATGGCCAACCCCACCACGACGACCCGGGAACACGTGTGATCATTACGTAGTAGAAATGGACGAAAGATACGCGTGTAAACATTGCGGTCTAATTTTTGGGTGGGCTTCCTCACACACTCCTGTAGACATGGGAGATAGATATTACAAGCATTGCGTTTGGAAAAAACCGCCACCACCAAAATCGAGAAAAACTTTAAAAGAGTTAAACGTTCAATTGGAAAACGGCAAAGCGGGCGAAATAGAATATAAGTTAAACCGAGTTCTAAATGGCAAGATCTCTAGAGGTAAACCGTTGAAGGCTTTAATCGCGGTATGTTATCAAGACGTAACTGGGGAAACCGAATCTAAAGTAAAAGATCTATTTCAAGTTTCAGATAAGCACTGGGAAAACGCCCTCGACAAATTAAACCTCGCCAAACAAGATTTTTCAAACGTATATAATAAAATGGAGACTCACACATTTTACTTAACCGAGAGCGAGCGGACGTTTAAATTGAAAGACAAGAGCAACAACACCAAAGGCGTCCGAGTAAAGGATATTCAAGTTTGAAGCTGGATATTTTAAGGTAACAAACGCGACTGAAATTGAGTGGGATACAAACTTGGATGGTAGGCCCGTGGGGGTACTTGGCGAACGACCGCCTGGAATACCTTCAAAGGAAAGAACGGATGTATCTCCCAATTCAGAATTAGTAAAAACAGCTAAAAACAGATTGATCCAAGCAAATAAAAGAGGCAATTTAGCCGGAGAAATCAACATCATCGCTGATGAAATTGAGCAGCTAAACAAAGAAATCACAACTTTAGAAGATCAGTTAAACCAAAGACAACCATTAGAAACGCGAGCTCGTTTAGCTTATGATGTCAACGATAAAAACGTCAAATCAGCTTCACTGTTCGAGGGACAAAGACAAGCCTTGGATGAAATTTACGAAGGGAATCCCCCAACTCGACCTACCACAAACGCCCCCGTACAACCCACAAGACCCAGAAGAGAATTAACTAAAAGACTGATTTTGACGGGGCTAACGGAACCTATATACGACAGACTTCATTCGCGAAGCTCATCTCAACCATTACCCGAGTGTCAAAGAGGAAACATCGTGGTATCTCCCGGTTATTATAACATGGACTGGTTTGACTTTTTATTAAACTCGACTCCGGATGTTTCTTTTAAGGCTCACTCAGAATCTAAAAGGGTGACTTTGGCCATTACGGACCCCAATCTCAAGTTGCGACTAAATAAAGAAGTGTCTAAGCTATTGAACTGACCCAAAATAAAACTTTTATCCAACGTTATTTATGAAACTATCTAACTATGTGAAGTTTGCGGTGACACCATGTAAACAAATTCTCTCTTTGAGTGTGTGAGGTTCTGAAAAGAACCGGGGTCCACTCAACATTTCGAACAGTGTGCTCTGTTCGTCTTCAGGAGAAGAATTTATGAAGGCAAGTACAATTTAAACCCCTTGAAACTTGTGCTTAAGTATTGCAAACAATTAAATACATTTGACAACTTTTATAACGGCAAGTCTTTAGACTTGCTATACATAATTGCGACCGAACCTTGCACCTCAACACCCATGACGTGTGAAACGCCTAAAAGTTAATCGACAGGAACATCAGTGAGTTGACTTTTTCTGTTGAAAACGATCGAGGTGAGCTCTTGAATAATATCGGCAAAATTTTAATCGAGTCAGACATTTTTTAAAACGCGTATATAATAAAAAGATGACGACTAACATTTATCCCGATTTGACTTTAAACTCGGCCGAACAAGCAGAAAGGGACAAGCGAGGCGAGCGAAGCGAGCACGAAAATTTACAGACTCAGAAAGATCGAAGAAATTAAATCCCAAATTCAAAGACAACGCGACGCGCGGGAAAGTAGCTACAAAAAGGTTAAACGAGTACTCATCGCACTCGGGTACGTAGAGTACGGCGTGGAAGCATTGGGCGCGACCTTGGCAGCCGTCGGCATTCCTGCCATTTTGGGCGACGTTACCGGACCCATCGGACTTGTGATGGGAGGCATCGCTATCAGTGCGTTCGGTGCTTACGCAGTTCTAAAGTACGCCTCCCGTAGACTCAACCACTAAACCAAAAAACGCGACCAAATTCGAATGTTGGCAGATGCTAAATTAAACACCATCGATGAATACGTATCTCACGTGATTGAAGACGATGATATATCCCAGGAAGAATTTGTACTTATTTTGTCCGAGC